CAAAACAGGGAAACAAGACCTACGAAAGTCTCGACCGACCTAGGCCCCATCGAACTTCGCATGCTATGCCTTTCGTACGACCGACGCACATGCTAATTCATTAATTAATCAATTAATACTCCTCAGTAGTTCAAGAGAAACCCGATTTTGCCCCGCCATACAATAAATGAAGAATGAATGACCTAGAGCTCCGGCGCCCCTCCGTCACAAGCAAGCGCCACACCTACCTAGACCCTCATCTTATCGAATCCCCATGGCAGGCAGATCTTTGATCTTTGACCTTTGCTACTGTACTGTATCCAGGAGCCAGTGTGAGGCTACGAATGTCAATGACGGGCTTGTGCGTTGTGGCTGTGGCTGTGCCAGCTTTTCGAAGACGACTCTGACTGACTACTTACTGCATTCAATGTGATGTGACGCAATCGGGGTGATCGGATGGTGATGGAGCGAGCGAGTGAGTAGTGGAAATGTTGTGGACTAGAGCACTTGTTTGTTGGTGAAGGGTCCAAGGCCATTACGTCGTGGTTTCTCGTGGTTTACAGTACAAGTGTTTCTTTATATGTTGGGCATTGTCCGGCTGGATATGCTAATTCAATTCCTTCTTCATAACCATCACATTCTTCAAACTCAACATCAACCAACCAACCGAAAGAACCCACCTGCACTAAACTAAACCTTCTATCTATCTACCAACCCAATAACCGTCATCATGGATAACGCCGCCGCCGCCGTAAGCAAGCTCTTCTCCAAGGCCACTCCAGCCGAGACCGAGTCGACTTCCAACTCCGAAGTCGCTGCCACCAACAAGTCCTCTAAGAACAACACCGTCGATGCCGACGTCAAGAAGACCACCGTCGATGCCGATGCCGACACCACAGTCGACGCCCAAGTCAACCCCGCTGTCGAGCACACCCACGTCACCAAGGCCCACGAGACCCGCGAGCAGACCTTCGTCGAGAAGGAGAAGCACCAAGACCACTACCACACCACCATCCAGCCTCTGAAGGACTCCGAGGTTCTGCCCGAGAAGCACGATTTTGAGCAGGAGACCCAGCAGCGCGCTGTCAACAAGGATGACGGCACTGCGAGAGAGAAGGCCCAGATGGATACTGCCGGCTACCAGAGCTCGATAGATGAGAAGAGGGTGGAGACTGCGTCGAAAGAACCTACTCAGGTCAATGAGCATATTCACCATCACTTGCACGAGACTATCCAGCCTGTGATTGAGAAGGGTACGTCATTTCTCTAAAGTTCGACTAGTTTTGGGAGGCCTTGCTAATGTGCCTTGCAGAGGTCATCGCTCCATCAGTCACGCACAAGAGAGTTGATATCAAGGAGAACATCCAGGAAGCGTCCCAGCACCACGGCGTCACGAAGAACTCGGCCATGTCGGTTGATGAGTTCCAGAAGAAGCTCAACGACCAGGAGCGATCGTAATCTAAAGATGGCTGTGGTAATATAATGTGTATATAGTTGATTGGATTGTAATGAAACACCTCACCTTATGTTGATATTCTTCTCCTTACTCTCGCTTATCCCCCTGTCTGTAATTCAACGTTCTTTGTGTGTCAATGCTCTGGTCCAGGTATTTGGGATTGGTATCAGATGTGTTCAACTGGTGACGATTTGCTGTGAGGTGAAATAGGCCGTACCACACCAGATGTTCCAGAAGCACAACATCAACACCACTCTCTCATCATATTCAGCAGTTTCCCAACTCTTCATCAAAACAAGTCCAAAAACTCACAACGGCGTTTATTCATCCCCTATACCTCTTCAATCCTCAGCCTCAATCCTCAACTTATGTCTCGAATCCCTCCCTCACCAACCCCACTGTGCCCGCTCACTCTCCCCTCCTTCAAGCATAATATATAACCAAAAAACGACTTCTCTGTCACATACGACCACAGACTGAAGAGAAAAGGGCATCCCGTCCGCTCTGCCAAACTCAAGCTTCAGATCGGTGGATTAGTAGTTGGGTGGGTGACCACCAGCGAATACCCACTGTTGTATGTAACTTCCATTTCCCTTTTTGTCGTTTCGATTCTCAATATTCGTGGCTATTGGCGGCGTGATGGAGTTGCGGTGGAGGTTTTTTGTGGGGTTTTTTTCTTGGTGGGTCGTGCACGCTGCTTCCTGGCTGAAATATCCTCCGTTGTGGGATTCGAGTGGAGTCCATCTGTACAGACGAGCAAGTACAAATAAGTAATTGTCTTTTGCCACCGTAATGGGATGGTCATCTTGTCGTATAATCCATGCGTAGGAAGAGGAGATGAAAGATCTCACACGCGAAGAAGAGATTGGAAAGTGCCATGATTCGATAGTTCTTGATTTGTCGTTAGGGAAAGAAAAGAACACAGGCGGGTCTCCTATCTCAAGATGACCTCGGAAAACGTCAGACAGAGCACGTCTAAAAACGAAACACCCAATAATTATTGAGCAGAAGAAAAAGAAAGAAAGAAAGAAAGAGAAAACCAAACCGGTGTTTAGCCGAAGATACAACCCGCATCACCTCGAGCGGAGATTGCCACGTACAAACAAATCTCAGCCCTCATTACAGTACAGCAGCTCTTATCCCCTACCTTGTCCTCATACCACCCACCCAATTCCACCCACGCACAGAGGAAAGAACTCACTCACCACCAAACGAGAAAGCAATACCCAGAAAGTGTGCTCAAACACACAAACAACAACAACAACAACAACAACAATAATACTATCTATCTATCTATCATGACATATATCTATCGCTCACTTCTTCCCCCCTTTCCCCGCTCCATCCCCAGTGATCATCTTCCTCGCATCCCGCGTCCTTTGCCTTTCTGCACCTTGCTTGCTTGCCTATGAACCCCAACCCGAAGTCTCGACCCGGACCAGCCCAAGGACCGCAGAGCATGTGTATCCAGTTCGAGCCACATGTTACACGACCTGCTTTCCTCCTGCCTTGCCTTGCCATGCAATGCCAGAACTGAAGTTGCCCATGTCGTCTTTTCATATTTTCGTCTTTCGTCTATTGCTTGTTTCTTCTCCTTCCTTCGTCTTCTCTGCCTACCTCATCCAGCCTATCGAGAATGTCCAAGTCCGTGCTTGCTTCGCGTCGTGTGGCCTACAGTGTTGTGTTTGAGGAGACTTTCCTATCGGTAGACTTCCTTTGTTCAAGTAATCGAGGTATGGACCATGTGATTTGCGGATAAGAATACGCACCCAAGGACCCAGGGGAGAATATTGCACACACCCTCCTACAGAGGATAGAAAGAATATCAGAGAAAAAGGCGAAGGTATAAGAAGAGTGAATTTGAAAGATCCGCGCCCTCATTATCTATCATTCATACAAGTCCAATCATTTATCCCATCATTGCTTATTCTCAAGCAAGAATAGTGTATACTCAGTAAGCATCATAGACAGATGTGGTTAGAGTGCAATCTCCAGTTCCCATCCAATACCAAACACCCGGTTCCAACACCGATACCGACACTGTGCGAACAAGACACCAATGTCAACAAACCACCATAAGACATGTAGAGAAGGTAATAAGTCGCAGACCAGAAGAAGAGGAGCGAGCCATTAAATAGAAAGTTCACTTTTAAGTATCCGTTCCGTCCCATATCAGCCCATCCATTCCATTTCATCCAGAGAACCCTTAGGCTGACCAGACCATTACTCAGCCACCCGACGCCCCTGCCATGGTTTGAAGGGTTCTTGCATTTGGTCCTTCACTTTAAGAAGAGTAGTTTAGGCAAAGATATTACAGGCCGTTGATTACAACTTCCGGGCATGTCTTGCTATCGTCAACAGGGGATTTAAGGGCCACGTCGGTGGAGTCTTCTATCGTGCTAACGTTTGTGCTGGGGAGGCTGCTGCTCTGAGGACTATTTTGGCCGTTCGTAAGTGTTGGAGTTGGCGCGCTTGAATCGATTTCGATTGGCATTCTCGCCGCAACAAATGAAGTCGGAGACTTGCTTGGATGAAGTGGTTGTTCTTGGACAACCTTTTCAATGGCAACCAATTGCTTCCCATAGCTATACTTCTTCAGCTGGGTGAGTTGGGGCTTCAGGTCCTCCACAAATCTGTCACGGTCGGCCCCTTTGAGCTGAGACAGGAGTTTCTCTACAATCTCATTAGTACTTGGTATTGAGGGGCAGAGCGTGAGAACCTACGAATCACATAGTTCCCATATTGATCTTTCATCATCAGTTGTACGGGACTGGTTCCATCGCTACGTAGTGTAGTGATTTGGGCCACGATTGCTCGTCTCTGCTCATCAGTTCCATACTCAATGCTCTTTTCAACAACATTCGAAGCAAATTTATGCTTGGATAGATGCAAGACCTGTGCCGTGACAATCTTGATGACCTTTGCTCGGTCTTCTGGACTTCCGTGCTGGATAATGTGCTGGGTGACGTAGTTACCGAATTGATCAGTGATGAGCGTTGTTGAACACTGGTGAAGCTCCTCGAGAATTGCAACTTGATCATGTGATTTGCAATGCTCTAAAATTCGCTGTATGACACGGCAACCGTATGGATGAGCTGCCAAGGTTTGTACCTTTCCCCTAAATGCTTTGATGATGAACTGTATGTGTTCGGTCGGGACACGTTCAATGGCCTTTTGTACAACGTGGTTACCATTCTGATCCTGGACACATTTCAGGACATCGACATTTAGTTCCTGTGCAAGCTCGGCTTGCTGATCGGCGAGGACATGTTCGAGTGCCTGGAAAGGTTAGTCTAGACTCCAAGGTTCCGGAATTACAGCACTTACCTTTTGAACAACTCTGCAGCCATACATTTGCATGGACAGCTCCAACACATGATGCTTCATCTGCTCAGCCAAGACACGCTTTTGTACCTGATTACCATGCTCGAACATCTTCTGAATGACATAGTTGCCGAAAACGTCTGTCATGAGCTGAAGAGCATTTGACTGAATCTCGCGGAAGACTTGTTCCTTCTCATCACTATTTGCAGTCTCAAGCTTTAGCTGAATGAAACGTGAACCGTGCTGATCTCCGCTAAATTCTACGATGTGGTTGTAGATATCCTGAGTCTCGTTAGCATATGCTAATCACATGGTGCTACCTGCACTTACCCTCAGTTCGTATTTCTTAGTAGACTTATTGCTCGAACGAAATTCTTCTAGCAGCACACTTCTCACACCTGCACCCACATCCTGGTGCTTGGCTGGCTGAGTTGGAATGACGGGGGCTGCGGCATATGGAGGAATTGGCATCGGGTAGCCATATGGAAGATTTCCTGGCCTAAAGCTTGGCTGCATGTATTCATAAGGATATGGTGAATATTGGCCCTGAAATTGCATGTACGCCTGTGCTTGCTGGTGGTAAATATTTTGCAACCTCTGATTCAGTTCAGCGGGACCTGTTGGAGCCCGTGGGCCTCTCGAAGTTGGGCGATAGACCAGTTCTTGTCCCAAAGGAGGGGTTCCACTAGCAGAGAAGTACTTGGGGCTGTTAAGACCACGACGGTAATCACTTCCTGCTGGTGAAACAGAACCTCTGTCCGTAAGACGAGCCGGCTTGCTAAAATAGTCTTGATTCGCAAATGGTTGGTTCGAGTAGGGGTCATAATTGTTTACTGACTTGGATCCATGCCCATCACCCCACATAGCCGAGCCATTGAGTGACTGGGTTTGCTGAGCAAAACTTGAGTGGCTAGGAGAGTAGGAGTTGCCGACATTGTTGTTAGCATGAGATGAGCCTGGTTGGTCGGCATCGCGACCAAGCGAAGTCCCAGCAAGTTTATCGTTCAGCTCCATTTCATGTTGTGCCAAGTCATACCTCATGCCATTCGTTTGCATAGTGTACGAGGCTGAAGGTCCAGAGATAGAAGGGCGTTGAGAATGAATGGAGCTGCTTGGCGTATGGTTCCCAATAGATCCGAATGGTTGGTGACCACTAGTAAATGATATGCTTCCACCATTACGGCCAGATTCGGATGCTCTGGAAGGTGGCATACTTCTGTCCCGGGAGACACTGCCGATTGCGAGGTACTGGGATGGAATCTCGACGTCATGAGCGTCACTATTGCCGTATTGACCAGAGTTCTCCTTGTCATCATTGTATGAATAAGACGGCGTTTTCTTCTGCACAAAGCTGAAGCTTCCAGAAGATGGGTTCAGGCTGCTCTTTGGTTGTGATCGGTAACTCAGTCCTTGGCCACCGGATGGACGAGTTTGGTGATACGGATTCTGAAGTTCCGAAAGTGTTTGAGCAGGAACGTTCGGGATACTATTTCGAGTACGGGAGGGTGATGTACTTCCGCTATGGGACTGCATGGTAGGAGATGTAGTGTCGGGGGCATTCCAAGGCCCGTTTGTGTGCGCACTCCAGGTATCAGCCTCAGATTCCGCGGCCAGAGCCTTCGAGCCACTTGGTCCATCCGGAAATTCCTTATTGCCCACTATGCCAGCGTCAGCGACTGCCATGGAACTTCGGCCATTGCACACATACCACTGGGTTTGGAATTTTCTCTCTTTGCGTTCGTATATCCGCTTCCAATCGTGCTATTGCCCCATATGGCCCCCGAGGGCTGCCATGTAGCATCGTTACCAAATGATTTTGCAAGTATTGTAGACTGAGAAGAGTCGCTATTATGTCCACCAGGAGCTGCGCCGAATTCAGGGAATCGCGGTGCTCGTGTCTATTTCGGGAAGTCAGTAAGATGCGGCTGGGAGGCTTGGGGAAGAGGTCCCAGAACGCACATTAGAGGGCATCGTGCCTGATGGACGGTTAGTGGTTGCAGAAGACATGAGTATGACGCTACGTGGGTGTTTGCTATGTATATGCGGCTTCAAGGGCTTGAGATATGTTCGGTGAGAAAAGCGCGGTGGAGACGATGAGAATAGTGCTTTCGCTACCAATTAATAGGTCGCAGATTTATAAGAACTAACATGTTTCCCGCTGTCAGCATCTGTCGTAAGGCTAGTCTTGTAGAACAGATCAGGCTGGGGCAGAGAAGCAAATTTCATGGGGAGGATTCTCATCAACTTACCAGTAATG